GCTTCCATTTCCCACATAAGTGTGAGTGGCAAACAACTTATTCACATTCTTAAAAAATGTATATTTTCAAGATATTTCTCGTAGTGACCACAGTCTCCACCTTCAATGGTGAAATATGGCAATGCTTAATGAAAATCAAATTACATTATTGCAATAAACAATGCACATCTGCATTGCTGTATTTTTTTTAAAAAAAATATACCAAGCAAGCAAAACTAATTTTAAAATAAACAGTAAACACTATGCAACAGAGCAGGGAAAAGATGGAATCCCTTAAAGGCAACAGGAAGTCTGAGCTTGATAGTTGTGACTTATGAACAACATACTCAGCTTGTGGCCTGAAGGTTGATCCTCCCTCTTTACAGTGCCACAAGAAATTTATTTATTTTATTTATTTATTTATTGTATAATAAACAGTAAACACTATGCAACAGAGCATGGAAAAGATGGAATCCCTTTAGTAAGGGAGATAAAGGCAACAGGAAGGCTGGGCTTGATAGTTGTGACTTATGGACCACATACTCAGCTTGTGGTCTGAAGGTTGATCCTCCCTCTTTACGGTGCCACAAGAAATAGCTACTAATTAAATGATTCTATAAGATGGGAAAAATAAAAATAAATCAAATAAAGAGAGAGAGAAAGGAAAGAGGACAGGAATTAACTGGAAATAGCTACCTTCCAGGAATTTAATGTCATTGATACAAGGGTGCTTGGAACTGAACCTTATTGGTATCAGATTATTGTTTAGATCAGAGTTGGACAACAATGACCCTGCAAAATATTTGGAATGCATTTCCTTTAATCCCTCACCTAGTTAGACCTCTTGGAATCTTGAGACCAAAAACATCTGGAAGACCATAGTTTCCCATTCTGGTTTAGATTACTGATTCACAGGACATGTAACAAAAAAATCCCAAAGTGTGACAAAAAAAATTCTTAGACAGCAACAAAAGCATTATGGTTCATTTACTCGTGTTCCATGCCATGGAAATTACCACAGTCTTGTCATGACAGATTTTTCATAAGGATGTCTGGGTGTGTAAGAGTCTGTACAAGGGGCTGAACAACATTAGTTTTGGAGCCTTCCCAGCAATCTCATTCTCTACTCTCCTCCCCTACCCCTTTTTGGCATGCTATTGATGGAGAACAAAATGTCCAAGCAGCACTGCCCAGTTCAAGCAGGCCATTCTTATTATGAGGAACACCCTATCCATTTCAAGTGTGCAGCCTGGGCCTCTGTTAATTGTTGCAGTAATGGGCAATATTTGCCATGGGTGTGCGTGAAAGGAAATTCACATGTAATGAGCTCTTTTTGTGATTCACACCCAAGAAGCAGGCAAAATTAGCATTCACACACTGACTTCGGTCTATTTATTTTTTAACTCTCAAAATGCTGAATGAGAAAACATGCTCCGGAAAAAATCTGGAAATACATGTGAAATGTGCTCCTGTCAGAATTAACCCTTTTAAAAATTCTGATGACATCAGTGTGACAGCTTGTGTTTCACTCCCCTTTCCAGAAAACTGTGGAATTTACAAGAGCTCTACCATGCCCAGACTGTGGGTTTGTCTTATTATTATTACTTTTTTACTCTCAGGGGCACTGACTCAAATTTGAGCAAGAACTAGAAAATTAGTTGTAAGAAATTGCTGCAGCAGCTGATGCAGAGGGATTCATCCAGGACTAAACTGCAAAGAAAAGATTGAATTTGAAGAACACTCATTGTGATTGCTTTTTTTCAAAATTGCATTTTCTATATTTTTCACTTTGGGGATCTCTTTTTTAGGCAACCTTTCCTGCCAAGGAAACTGCCTTAAAAACCTTTCTGATCTCTTTGGTTTTCGAATACTTTGTAAAGCAACAGTTTGAGTCCTATTTGGGTTCATGATAAGGCTGTATATGTTGCTGTAACTAACTGCTGCTAATTGATGAGATGGTGGATCACACTTCAGTTGTACAGGATGGCACATGACAAAGCCTGCAACCAAGACAAACCCGTAGTGTTTTGGCAGTTAGCCTCAATTAGCTGTGGCAAGTTACACAGACCATAGGAAAACACTAATAGGGTTTTGACAGTGTTATTTTAATGGTAGATCTTTTCTTTTGTTTATTTAGGTTTTTATTACTGTAATCACTTTGAGAGAATGTATGCAGAAACTGAGTAGAAATATAACAGTGAAAACCAAGCATGATCTGAGCTAATGTAGGTTGAACACTTCATTTGCAGAAAGTGTTCAGCACAAATATATTGAGCTTTATTGTTGCCTGACACAACATGTGAGATACTCTGGTTGTGTGGTTTCATGTTGCATGTGACTTGTGTGACTCTACTAGGGTTTCCAAGGTATGTCAGAGGTTTTAAGGAGTTAGTGCAGTGGATAGAGTGCTGGACTAAGACTCAGGGGACCTGGGTTCATAGTCAGCCACAGAAACATACTGGTGTGGTGTGACAATGGTAAAAAAAAAACAAAAACTCCTTAAATATCTCACATACCTTGAGAACCCAATTAGGGTAACCAGAAGCCAAATACAACTTGACAGCACATAACAAGAAAATTAGAGAACACTTCCAATAAACTAGTCATTGTATGTACCTTCATACCTGTGAAAACTATACTACTCTTCATTCTGTCTGACTCTGAATTTGGAAATATTAATCATTATTAAGTGTTTCTTTTCAAATTTTGTTGATGCACATTTTCAGAGATAATTGGTACATGACTTAAGTGGTGGTATTATTAGGCATTTGACAAATGTATTTTAGTGTTCTACTACTCAGCTTCCCAAAGATTCCCTATATTAGACTGCAGTTTTCTTCATGAAACTCTCTCTGATTTGCTGGTTAGTCACATCTGTGCATTCAACATATTTAGACTGTGACCATCTCAGCAAGAACTGTTGCTTTCCCTTCATAAAAGAGTTCTTCTGAGTTTTTTCCTGCAGTGTAACTATCTTAATACATTAATCCAAGAAATGATACAAGCATCACATGTACTGGCCTGCTGCTCTTCAGCAACTCTGTATTTTGTGGTAGTAAATATTGAGCACCCTGAATATTCAAGAGGATTACATGGTGTATTTTAAAAGTTGCCCCATTCATATTCAATTTACTAATTTTTTGTGTGATCTCTATTTTCTGTAAGACAACAGCTATCAGTATGGTGGTAATTTTTTGTTAGAGCCAGTTTGTTAATCATACCATAAAAACACAAGGACTCATGTCATTCATCTTAAAGACTGATAAATTTTATTAGGCATAAGCTTATGTAAACTTAAACTAGTTGCATATGAAGAAATAAGTACAGTATTCTAAAAAGAAGTATGTAACCTTTAAGGTACTACTTGGTCCCTTGTTTTGGCAGAAACAAACTAACACAGTTATGCCTATGGTGATTTCTATGTAAAAGCACAGTTATCTCTGCACCGTATGTGCCTGAAACTTGTTGGTGCACAGCTTTGCTTGTTCACTGCTTTCCCCAAGCAATTTCTGCTTTCTGCTGTTTATCAAGTTGTTATAATTTTTCCTTCCTTTTTGTTTATTTTCTGGCATGCACAGGTTCTCAGAGTTAAACATTGGACCAATTAGGGACTCTTGATTCATTTGTGTAAGTGAAGCAAATTGAAGAATGTGTGCTTTCTTTTTGTGAAAGTGGAGTGAGTTTGGTTTTGCTGTGACTTTACACTGCTCTGCTTTCTACAGTTGCTCAGAAAGTTCTCCAGCACAACCCCACAGAAATGAATTGGGGCTGTGTAAGGCCATAGTCCGTTAACTAGCTTGTAAAGGACCTTTGGGTTTTAAAACCCAGTGATTGTATTGTGATTCATTAACAGGCTGAATGTTTACAGTGGGCCTTGGAGAATATCCATGAGAAGTTTGATTTAGTAGAGGAAATGTTATTGATGCTTGATTGACTACTGCACATTATATGCATTGCTTAACAGAAAAGGTTTTCGCTAGTATGAAACCATTTTACTAGAGTTCATTGAAGTTACCATTTTTAACTACAAGTCCCACAATTCCCCTAAACCAGCATGGCTAGCAGAGATATTCAGGAGCTATAGGCCAAAGCTCTGTATTTTACAAAGAATACATTTGTGCTGGTTGATCCATGAACTTAGCTGCTGACCATTTCAAACTTCCATCCATCGGAGGGAGCAAGTTGCCTCTTCCTCTAAACTTAAGTATATACCAATTCATCTTTCTGTTCACTTTCAGATACACAGAGATTTCTGTGTCCTTATAAGCTTAGTCTTTTCTTTCTCACATGCCACTCATTCTTATTTTAAGACCTGGGCTACACAAACAGCAGAGTCATGTCATGCAGATATACCTGGATTCTACTAACACTGATTTTGTTTTGGTTGTTCTTGTTTGAGTGCTGCCCATATTTTTTAAAAAAATTAAATTGAAAGCAGTCATTCGCTCTTCTGAGCCAGGTTTTTGTGGGTGTGGTGTGTTTATATTTATGCAATTAGTAGCATTCAGATATATCCTCTCATACCTGCATTGTAAGCAAGAGTCATCCCTTGCTGTACTGCTGATTGTGCAGTTCATCTCTAAATTGCATCATGATTATCTCTTTGCCCCAATTCATAGGGCAATTCAATTCACTTCTAAGCATCCCTATGCCTTCCAAAAGCACCACTATCAGCTTCCCTTTGGTTTATCCCCCATCCACTTTTATCTTTAGGCCTCCTCACGTTATGCCTGTTAGGTAGAGATGCTTCACAAGCTACCTGTTGTTGGAGTATTGCCGGGTCTTTCTCGATTAACCTATGCAGGTACATTGGTGTTTGCATTGGGGGGGGCAACTTTTTATTGTGTGCAGCAATAAAAAGTTGGGGAAAATGGATTCAAATACTCTGAGGTATCAGACCCATTGAACCTGAGATATTGAGGATTTTGGTTGACCTTTTGCTTTTAATATATTCAGAATTCTGGATATAATCCAGGTGATGGAAGGAATGTGTTTCACTGTGTTCTGTTGTGCCACTTTAGGTATGCAGGTGCTGGAATGGAATGGCGTTCCCTTGACTGGTAAAACTTACGAAGAAGTTCAGAGTATCATCATGAGTCAACAGAGTGGGGAAGCAGAAATATGTGTAAGACTGTGAGTTTTTCCCCATCTTTTCGTTTCCATTATTTTTGGCTTTTCATGGCTTTTAATTCATAAATGCTAAGGTGGAACCTTTCTTATTTTGTTATTTTGGAGGGGGAGCATTGCATGTATATATTAGAAAAGGATTCTTCTGTTGTTTTATATGATAAACCTGGATACCCATTGTAGTGGATAGAGTGATGGATCAGGACTCGGGAGGCCTGGATTCAAATCCTTGCTCACCCATAGAAGCTCACTGGGAGAGTGGAACTGGTAAAGCCACTCCTTAAATATCTCAGCTACCTGGAAAGCCCTGTTAGGGTCACTACAAGTCAGTTGACTTGATGGCACATTACAACAACAGTGTGATAAACTTACAGAAATGAAACAGTGCTGTTGAAACTGATGTGCAAAATTTGGTTTTTGCATTCTCTTTGATGTTTTGTGGGGTGGGGTGTTCAAATTTTAATGGGAAAGGTCCCTTGACACACATTCGGGAGGGTGATTGATGATATGGGTACAAACACAAAAAAAATTAATTGTTTTTTCAAAAAAAAACCAGTGTGGGTCACGTTGAGTGATTTTCAGAAAGTTACTTAATGATCAGCTGAATAAGAATAATAATGCACTAGACAGCTGTGGATGAAAGGTTGTAAAGCATTGCACAGTAAAGCTGCTATAAAATTATACGTTAATAAATAATACACAGCAACTATAACTCATCTAAGTACTGTGGAAAGTATATGTATTTCAGTGTGAACCTCCATTTATTCCATTAAAGATTTCACCTTAAAAGTGTCATTTTTCTCAGCTCTTCAATAGCATCATAAACATCTCAGCTAAGAAAAGGTCATCCTTGGGAGCTGTTTTCTGCCATGATTCATGTCTCATTTATCTTCTTTAATAAGATCATGAGGGTGTGCCAGAAGGATTCCTTTTGTCTCAGGCTTGTCATTGCTTCCTTTAGGGATCTCAACATGTTGTCGGATGGCGAAAATCCACAACATCTGGAGTTACTTGAGCCAGGAAAGCCTGGTGAGTGAGGCGGCTCTTCTGTTTCAATTTATTTTTAAGTATTAAAAGAGGCCAAACAAGAAAGGAGCTGAAGCAATTCCCCTATGGAAAAAAAATTATCTCATAAGCATATGGCTTGATGCTGTGGTCCTCTGGTCTGATGGTGAAGATATTTTTACCATACTAGGTCAAGATGGCTAACAATCTAAATCAAACATTATTAGAAACATAAGTTATAAATATCTAAAAATAAAAAAAAATACTTTCTGATGTTCTTACCTTAAGCCCTGGGCAGATTTTCTTCTGACCCTTGAAAAGAACTGAATGGACAATCTTAAACTCAAGTATGGAATTTAGTATAAAGAATCCGAACATTTGAAGTGAAAGCCCATAAACTGTTTTTCATCATTATATCTCAAGAAATCAACTGTGTTGGATCTTTTAGCCTGTGGGGCAGAAGGAGATAGTCATAGGGTGTGCAGGGGCTGCATCAGCCCCATTTTCCATCCTCAGGACCTCCCAGGATCATATCTGTCTTTGCTTCACTTCCGGTACAGTATTTGCAAATGTTATCTTCCTTGATGAGCTGGAATGCTCCAACACATCAAGATTCTGTGATTAAAAATATTGAACTTCTGGAAGATTTCTCACTCTTGCATAAGAGTGAATAATGCCAGCATTTTTTTAAAAAAAATCATCAACAATATACAAAATTTGTATTTTCTTTAAAGGAAATTGTATTTTGTGTTTTAAAACTCTCTGTATTTTAGGCAGAAGGGTCTGAATTTTGTTGCAATTTTTAAAGAAGGGCCTATTTCCTATGTGTTTGTGAGTCACCCCAGTAATTTTTGCATGAACAGACTTACTTTTTACCTAGACTCCTAGGTTTTAGAAATATGTAAACAGCTCAAGGGAGATTTGCCAGCTCTAACTCCTTTCCCTTTCAAACACACATAATAATGTGACTATTGGTTTTAAGATTAAAAATTGAGCTGAAATTGCCAAGTTCATAAAGGTGATTGCTTTGATACCTTGTATGTGTTTTTCATATTTTAAATTCTTTGTTTCCCTTCCTGCTGTAGTAATTGGACATGGTGATGATCATGAATGGTCGATTTTTAAAAACCAATGTAACATTGTAGAACTGAATGCAAAATCTTTTGCTTGCAGTAGAGAAAACAAAGTCCCCAGGGGTGGATCCTAAGCAATTGGCGGCAGAACTGCAAAAGGTTTCTCTGCAGCAGACGCCACAGGGTGCCTCTTCAGGGGTGGAAAAGGGCTCCCATGCTCATTCTGGCACGACATCGGCTACCTCTAGTTCTGTTCCTAGCCCAGGACAGCCTGGTTCGCCTTCAGTCAGCAAGAAACGGCACAGTAGCAAGGTATGCAGGTTTGTTGGTTGGTTCTTTATCAATGTTTTTCCATTTATGGATCGGGATGGGTACACACATTTTTATATATAGACAACACGAAGCACAACAACAGGAAGTTAACCCTGGAATCCCTTCCACTGTTATCATTAGTGGTGCTGGGGTGGAGTCAGTGTAGCTTCTCCCAATGATGCTCAGAAAGAAGTCTGAAATCACAAGGGAACATGAAGTGTTGTCCATTTTCCTCTTTACACATTCTTTGATATATGGTTTATAAATGCATGTAGTTGTGTTGCCTAGATTGGCTTATTTTTGTGTTGATCACAGATTTCCACTATCTTTGTGGTTTTCCTTTGCTTTTGCCTTTTGAGCATCTCAGCAAGGCTGTCATTTTGATCCACCAAGCCTAGGCGTGCTTCATCATAGGTTTAAATGCTCAAAGGATTGGTTTTGCTATTGATTGAATTTCAATTGGACTTCAAAGGATTGTTTCAGGAACATTCCTTTGATTTGAGAAATGTCAGTCTTGGTTGCAGAGTTAACACTGATATGATGTAACTTGGATGTCCACTTGCTCAACTATTCTGTCTTATTTGATTATCTTGTCTTACTGCCATCATCCAACAGCAGAAAACCCATGTTAGCTTTGCACAGACTTGCCATGCTAGCAATGACAGTATTTTCCAGCAAGTCCCACAACCTTAATTTGCCAAAGCTTCCCTATCTGCAGGAAGAATGGAACAAAAAGAAGCAAATTACACAGCGCAGGAGGGAGTCGACATTTGATTATAAAGTACACATCGCATGCTGTGCTAGCCTGTTTCTTCTTTTATCATTTGATGAATGATTATGTTGCAGCCTACATTATATTGTTGTTGTTTAGTTGTTAAGTCATGTCCGACTCTTCATGAACCCATAGACCAGAGCACGCCAGGCCCTCCTGTCTTCCACTGCCTCCCAGAGTTGGGTCAAATTCATGTTGGTAGCTTCCATGACACTGTCTAACCATCTCGTCTTCTCTCTTCCCCATCTGCTCTTGCCTTCACACTTTTCCAACATCAGGGTCTTTTCCAGGGAGTCTTCTCTTCTCATGAAATGGTCAAAGTATTGGAGCCTCCGTTTCAGGATCTATCCTTCCAGTGAGCTCTCAGGATTCATTTTCTTCAGAATGGATAGGTTTGTTCTCCTTGCAGTCCAGGGTACTCTCAAGTATCACAGTTCAAAAGCATCAATTCTTTGGTGGTCAGCCTTCTTTATGGTCCAACTCTCACTTCCATACATTGCTACCAGAAAAACCATAGCTTTGACTATGCGGACCTTTGTCAGCAAGGTGATGTCTCTGCTTTTTAAGATGCTGTCTAGGTTTGTCATCACTTTCCTCCCAAGAACCGATCAGTTGTTCCATATCCAGGTCTAACTGTTGCTTCCTGTCCCATATATAGATTTCTCAGGAGATAGATAAGGTGGTCAGGCACTCCCATTTCTTTAAGAACTTGCCATAGTTTGCTGTGGTCCACACAGTCAAAGGCTTTTGCATAGTCAATGAAGCAGATGTTTTTCTGGAACTCTCTGGCTTTCTCCATAATCCAGCAAATTTTAGCAATTTGCTCTCTAGTTCCTCTGCCCCTTTGAAATCCAGCTTGTACTTCTGGGAGTTCTCGGTCCACATACTGCTGAAGCCTACCTTGTAGGATTTTGAGCATAACCTTGCTAGCGCGTTAAAATGAGTGCAATTGTACGGTAGTTGGAGCATTCTTTGGCACTGCCCTTCTTTGGTATTGGGATGTAGATTGATCTTTTCCAATCCTCTGGCCACTGTTGAGTTTTCCAAACTTGCTGGCATATTGAGTGTAGCACCTTAACAGCATCATCTTTTAAGGTTTTAAATAGTTCAACTGGATTGCCATCACCTCCACTGGCCTTGTTGTTAGCCATGCTTTCTAAGGCTCACTTGACTTCGCTTTCCAGGATGTCTGGCTCAAGGTCAGAAACCACACTATCTGGGTTGTCCAGGATATCCAAATCTTTCTGGTATAATTCCTCTGTGTATTCTTGAAACCTCTTCTTGATGTCTTCTGCTTCTGTGAGATCCCTACCATTTTGGTCCTTTATCTCATGTCCATCTTTGGACAAAAGATTCCTTATTAGACAGGGTTATGACACCTGTACTTAAAAGCTGTCCAAAGACCTATCCCTGTGTTCTTATGGGCAAGCCGTGAATCAGCCAAATTTCTGAAATTTAGGGGAAAGGATATGCAACATTAGATAATGGTTCACAAATAGAACTGCTGGATAGCTCAGTGGTTTAGGCATCTGGCTACAGAGCCAGAGGTTTGGAGTTTGATTCCCCACTGTGCTTCCTTGACAAGAGCTAGACTTGATGGTCCATCCATAGGATCCCTTCTAGCTCTAAAGTTTGATGATGATGATGATAAGGAGGAGGAGGAGGAGGAGGAGGGTGATTATAAAAGTTTACCCACCCTATCCCCCCAAAATAGTGAGTTGTATATATCTGCTGCATCTCATTTTGTTGTATTTTCTACATTGAAAACTTCTTCCTTTCCAAGAAAATTAGGTTACAGCCAAGCACATGTTTATGGTTACCACAGGGATATGAGCTGAAATAATCTCTTTCCGGGAAGTATTCCCCATCGGGCCTGAAATGTTTCATTTCAAGAGCATGGGGCAGTTGGTTCATAGTTAGCAAACCCCTTTTTAACCAACCTTCATTTGTAGAAAGATCTCATTCATATTTTTTTGTCCCTTTCACATTTCTCAGAAAGAATAATGGGTGTTGATAGATATATCTTGAATCAAAGGCAAAGATGTTGATAAACATACCTGTTTACCTGAAAGGCACATTTTACTTCCTGGACTGCAATACTTCCAAATTTAATTAGCCTTCTAACTCACTTGTAAAAAGGTAAAGGTAAAGGTTCCCCTTGACAATTTTTGTCCAGTCGTGTCCGACTCTAGGGGGCGGCGCTCATCCCGCTCTTCAAGCCATAGAGCCAGCGTTTTGTCCGAAGACAATCTTTCCGTGGTCACATGGCCAGTGTGATTTAGACACGGAACGCTGTTTACCTTCCCACCGAGGTGGTCCCTATTTATCTACTCGCATTTGCATGCTTTCGAACCGCTAGGTTGGCGGGAGCTGGGACAAGCGACGGGTGCTCATTCCGTTGCGTGGATTCGATCTTACGACTGCCGGATCTTCTGACCCTGCAGCACAGGCTTCTGCGGTTTAGCCCACAGTGCCACCAATACTACCCAATCATAATTTTCCCCTTTAAAAAACACAAGTAGGCAAAACATTTTAAAGGATTTTCCTGTGTCCTCCTATACCTTCCCTGTGATTGTGGCAAATAAAAAGAGTGTATACCAACAACCAGCAATGCTTAGCTATTAGGAAATGGCTGTAATGGGCATACTGATTGAACCCAAAACAGTGGGATTGCCATCTGGAAATGGCTGCAGCATTGGGGAAGCAGAGGACAGGTCACACTGGGGAGTGGGCAAATACCCTGGGCAGCACTAGGAGGCATCGTTTATGATGGGTGGAAAGTGTGAGAAGAGCACAGGGCACAGCATAGTTGAGTAAATGAGCACAATCTTGGGGTAGATGAATGAAAAAGGAAGAAGGAGGGGGCGGCAGACTGAAGCATGACATACCTAGTCCTGTGAGCAAAGGCTACCATTCTGTCTTATATAAATGGGACTCCAGGGAAGCCCAGCACTGGTGGGTTGACTTGAAGAATATAGGCTTTTCTGCAGATCCAGTTTCTAGGTGTGAGTGGTGTGGACTGACAATGCCCCCTGCCTGAGAGAACACTCTCTTACTGGGCACACTAGTTGGTAGGCAGAATAACAATTCCGCTGTCAGCTTGGCCAGACCTTCAAAAAGAGAATCCTTCTCAGCCCAGCAGGACAAAAGATCAGTCTTTTTTGGCTTGCAGGGCTCCTGCATGTACCCCTCTCCCATGTCCCTCCTCTGGGCTGGTATCCCTGGAGGACACTCCCCTGCCATACTTGTCAAGACAATATCTGAGAAAACTTGCCCTATTGTTGCAGGGGTAAAGGACCTGGACTCTAAAATACAACTATTTTAGTTGTCCATGTGAGTTCCCAAGGTCTCCTCCCCCATATCAGATGGTCCCAGTACCTTTGGTGCCAGAGTGTCTTTAAGTTTCATTTCTCAAGAAATCACTCTAGGTTTTTTCTGATAAATTGGTTTCATTTTCACTTCTTCCTCTAGCAAGCAGAAGCCTAGCCTTTGCCTTCTAATCTATAGGAGACTCCAAATATTAGGAATTATTATTACAGATTTGTGGAATGATCAAATTCGGATTTGAATATATTCAGAATTATTCAAATATAGCATCTTTTGGTGAATTCTGAATATTTCCAAATTCAAATTTCTAGTATTTACATAAATAAATCTTTATTTTGGTCTGTGTCATCCCATATTTTGGTCTGTGCATCTATGAATCTATTTTTTGAGGGGAAAGTATTATATTCAATATTTGTGTGGCAACCTTTATATCATTTCAGCTATAAATAATTTTATGCCACCAAAACTGGTGATCATTAGTTCAGCTGTGTAAACATAAGCATGTTCTCTTATATGAGAGAATCATATTATAAAATCATAGTAATCCATTCATATTGACGGTACATAACTTGTCTGAATTTCTTTTTTATTTCTAATATGACAGCCTGCTGAAGGGATAAAATCTGGTTCCCATCCAATAACTGGAGAAATTCAGGTAACAATCTAATATTAAGTTAATGACTTTATTCTTGTCTATAAAACCAATATTTATTTCAGATCAGGTACACCGGTCGTATATGACCCAAGCTTTACCAATAAGGGACTAAAGACCTGAGCACCAAAGTGGCTAGTTATGTTTGTGATGGTTCCAAAAGTATGGTTGTGTTCCACTTATCTTATTTAAACTGTGTAACAGATCAAACAGATTAAATCTCTGTGTTGGATTTACTGTGCAAGCCTATGTATGCCCACTCAGAATTAAGGCCCATTGATTGAATGCAACCTACACCCAAGCAACTTTGTAGAATTTTGCAGTCTTACGAATCAACTACCTATTGGAGGATGTCTGGGAGTTGAGCCATGGCAAGTGAACTTCTTTCTTGTTAGGCTGAAATGTTTTGCTACTCATCCAAGTAGCTCCTTAAGTCTGGGGAGGATGGAATTCTCGACTGCAACCCTAATGTCCAGAACTCTATGCTGTTGGGGTTGGGAGATATTGGCTTTAAGACCAACTATAATTCCACAAAACTATGCAAGCTCCCTAGTTTTCCAGATCTCTTCACTAGGGCTAGGTGTCTTTTTTTAAAAAAAAAAATGGAGATGCATGGAAGTTTGAAAGTTTAGTTACATGTTCAGGCTTTGGTCTGCAGATAAACTATCTAAGATAAGTTTAGAAGTGACAGGAAGTATCATATTCTGAGACAGACAAAATCATGGGTCCCTACCTCTGAAACCAGCTTCAGAAAATACCCATTTTCTTTTTTTTACTTTTGATTTCATTTTATTTTTGGTAAAAAAATTCAGTGGTTTAGTTACAAATATTATTTCAGCAACACAGTTTTTAAGGACATATGCAATTCCCTCTCTTTAATTTCATGGTATCCGTAGTGCATAGTTTGGGCCAAAAAGTATCCAGTGCCCTGTCTCCAGTGGCAGATGGTCTGCTCAACTGTGGCCCAAAAGCTGCATGTGTCCCACCTCTTCTCTGGAGATCCAGACAGATGGAGAAACATTTTTGATGTAAAAAGATAGTGGAAAATGTTAGACAAATGTAGCCTCAAGTGGCATTATATGATGAAGGGGGGGAAATTATTAACATCACTCATGTTCTCCTTAGCTTCAAATCAACTATGACAAGCACCTTGGTAATTTGATCATTCACATTCTTCAAGCAAGAAACCTTGCTCCCCGTGACAACAATGGCTATTCTGATCCTTTTGTCAAAGTCTATCTTCTACCAGGGAGAGGGTAAGTGAAGGAGTTTTCTACCATTGCTACCAATTAAAGCAACACATCTTCAGGGATTTCTGTCTTCAAGAAACCCTCTCAACATCAGCTAATTTGCCAGTTCATTTCCTTCAGGCTTTGCCATTACCATGAGTAAACAAGGCATTGCTGAAGAACAAGCTATGTTCCAATAAAGCTTGTTCATCACTATTTATGCAGGCACCCATGGGGACATAGTTTGGTAACTGGTAATATAATGTCATTAGAAATTAAGCTATGCATTTAACTATGACTAGGATCCAGAGGATTGTGACCGGGTAGGTAAATATTTAAGGAACATATATATATTCCTTAAATATTTACCCACCTGGTCACAATCCTCTGGATCCTAGTCATAGTTAAATGTATATATATTGTCCATATTTCTGAACCAGCCAAACTGAAGAAATTATCAAATATATTAACGTTTACAGTGATTTTGATTCACAGCCACAGATATAATGCTGCACCCATTTGAGTGTTATGAGAATGAACAAGAACACACTTTGAGTACAAGTCCTGCTTCTTCCTTCTTTCTGCCTCTATATAATCTTAAAGTCTTCTGTCTAAATATGAACCATGGCATCTTATTCAAGCCAAACATCTATAAAACCAGGTTCAAAATATAGTTTAACCTACTTGTTTCTGAGCTCTCTGCTACCAAGATCAAATCATATACGTCTGGACCAGAGGGCTTGGAAACATGCTAGTGCAGTTTTGTGGGAGTTGCGGAGACTGGAGGAAGGGAAGAAGGAGAAAGTCCTATAGATATGGACATTGACACGGGAGGTGCAAGGCAGGAGAATTGCCTTCTTCCTATTTTCTGATGGCACTACTTTTGCCATTAGATATATGCCATCTTGTTTTTGGTGAATTATGTTGCTGGTGGTGAAAATGTGCTGGTCTTTTCACGATCATGTAGCAAGGTAAAATCTCCCTCTTTTCCCCCCACAGGGGGCCTTGATGAGTCAAGACACCTTGTCTGTTGAAGATGAGAAATTTATTAACATTTGTAACATTTTTACAGCCTTGAATCCTGACCTGTGATTTGAACACACCGATTTCTCATATCAACTAGATACTGACATTTGACTTGTCCAAAGCCACGCAGAGAAGCTTTAAAAAATATGGAGAAGCATTTATAAAAGAAGAGAGAGGGAGGGAGAGAACACAGATTCTGCTTATCCTTGTGTTGTACATATTTTATGTGTGGACTAGGACCTAGATTGTTAATATCTGTATCTGAGGACCTTTCCCAGAGCTTTTAAATAATTCATTAATCTGTTAACATTTAGGTCATTCATGACAGTGATTTAATGTGTTCACCTCATTTAAAGCTTCCATTGTAATGTTAACTAGGGTTTCTCTTGTTAATCATTGCTGGACCCAAGCTGGACAGTTTTCACTTCATTGTTAAAGATTATTTGACATGTTCACTCCTGTAGTATCTGATTGATGGGGTTAGTCTTGTGGTTGGACCATTCCAATCCAGGAGAAAGGGGTCAATCAGCAATCATTGTTGAAAAACTTAAGCGGCAGGTAAAACTCAGAACAAAATGCTCCTCTTTGATTAATTATTTTAAAAACAAATAGAAATTTAATTAATGAATTAGCTGAATTAGAGAGATGAACTCACACTTCATCCCCCAGTGTTAGCAAGAATGAATGAATCTCCCATGTTTAACATTATTCAAGCATTAATTTTGAAACTTTTATTTATTTATTTATTTATTTATTTATTTATTTATTTATTTATTTATTTATTTATTTATTTATTTATTTATTT